AGGATACCACCAACCTGACCTTCTCTGTCTATACTGCTTGATTGTCAAGGACACAGAGGTGTGTGTTCAAATGTCAGTAGAGTGGATGCTCAGGAACAATAAACTAAGGTGATGTCATAAGTAGGTGTCAAACACATTTTCCCTTGGTATAATTTCCTGCTGTTGCTATGAAATAAAATGGTTCTAAACAGCAGTACCCAGGAAGTCTGTGGGAGCCAGGAGCTGTGTCTCACACCTATAATCCTAGCTACTCAGGAGACTGAACATGTGAAGATCAAAGTTAAAATCCAGCCTAGGCAGTAAAGTCCAGGAAATTCTTATCTACAATTAACCACTTGAGCTCAAGTGGTAGAGTGCCAGCCTTAAACAAAAAAGCTAAAGCATAGTAATAACAGGATCACTAATGACAAAGGTAAGAATGTCGCTCGCTCTAAAGCAATTAAGTTGATGTCAACTTGATCACTGTTGGAATAATAGTTCTAATGATAAATATTTTTAGATTGTCCACAGACATCATTCTATTAAATCTTTACACAGCTCACAATCACACCCCAAAGGAGTAGTTCTTTTCTCACAGCAAAGTCAGAGAGCCCAGAGAGGCTAATTGCTCGAGGACACACAGCTTGCACACACACCTTTTGCTCCTGAGCCCTAGCTATTAGATCCTGTCCTGCTCCCAGACTGCAGCTATAGCTCTGAAGGCTGGATGACCCTTAACTCAGCCATATTCAGCTCAGCCTTTCTCTAGATCTTTGCTGGCACTCATCTAAGTTGAAGCAGCTGGATTTTGTCATGCAGATGACTTTTGAAAGTGACCTCAGTCTAACTAAGATTGTACAGAAATCCCTCATCAGATCCCTGCTGATGCCAGAGATTTGGATGGATGAGGCTCTTCAGGGAGGGAATTCTAGCTTGCAATGTGAGGGAGAAAAGGTTTCCTCTAGAGTTTCAATGAAGAGTTTCCCCTGTCATACTTGTTTACTTTCAGTCTGTGACCAACATGGGATGTGTTTCCAGATGCTTGCGCTGGGTGAGGGGATGTTATGACATGGAAATAGTAGAAATGAGATGAAAGCCACACATCATGAACAAGGCAGGCTAGGCTTCTTCACTGGGTTTTCAACTCAAGCCAGCCAACTCAAGCTGCAGGAAGCCAACCCTGACCAGATGTGACCAGGCTCTGCTCAACGGAGAGTAGCAGGCTTTTTTTTGTAGCAGGCTTTTATTGGCTATTCTGTGGTGGGCAAAAGTTTGCTAATTGTCCATTAGTCATGGGCACCACTGTAAAACATTGTTTTTCTTCTTGTGCACACGGGTTTTGGCCTTGTAGTTGAGCTAACTGTGGTGAGGTTATTGACCCAGGAAGTTCTGTGTCCCTCTCACTGCTGACCACAAGCCTTATTAAAGGATTTACAGCTGTTGATTGAGAAATTACTCAGTCTTCTTGTTTCTGGCATAATTATCTGGCATAAATGTCCTGGCTCCATGGTTTGATCTGGTTTTTATGATAAGGCTGAGCGTGGAAGAGCTGTAGCTGCTGAGAAAACTCAAGATCAAGGTAAAAGAAACACATGCCAGATCCAATGGGCAATTGGCCAAGTTGACCCTGTATTATAGTCTTGAACAAAACATTCTCAAATGATCAACATGTGTGTATGCAGAGCTGAGTCGAGTCTGACTCAGAGCTTTGAAGCAGCAACAGGGATAGACAGGATATAAAGACAGAGATGTCAAACCTTTTATCCCATTTTAATCACCCAGCATTTGTAGGCTCCAGTGAAGAGTCAGTGTTTGTAGCAAAAGCAGAGTTGTTTATGCAAAGTAACCTAAGCAACTGTTATCATAACCCACACAATAGAGGTGTCTGTTATCTCTCAGCAACTAATAGGAAACTTAGGATGCATTCATTGCTCAGCTGTGCAGCCTCAAAAACTAGCCATTTTTAACTTAGTGAAATGTGGTTATTTAAGTCATTATTAAGTTAAGCAAGTGAAAATGTAGAGGTGTTTTTCAGTGGCATACTGATAACCTACCAAGTACAAGGCCCTGAGTTCAAACTCTAGTACCACAAAAAAAAAAAAGAATGAATAAGAAGGAGAAAGAGAAGAAGGAGAAAGAAGAAAATCTAGAAGATATATTTAGGGGTTGTTTTGTTATCTCCCCCTTTGGTAGAAATTCCCCTTGTTTTTCATGTCATTTGTGTAGCCCTAATAGTTACAATGGACTCCTAAACTGTAAACGTTTGCATTTGTGGTTTTATGATGAAGAAGTTGAGAGAGCACAAGGATGGGGACCGAAGAAAGCATATGCTCAGTGGGTAGCAGGTTAAGGGTCCAGAGTGCATCTGCCTTTATCACTTCACCATAGTCCCTACCTGTTTCCCTTGGACATAGATGATAGATGGGCGCCGTAGTGATTCCCAACAAGGCACAATGGGGCATAAAACAAAAGTTCATATTTATAGGTGAAAGGGGTCAGTCTAGTTCTAGGCCTACAAATGTAGTCTTACCCTCCCTGCCCCCCCATGAGCTATCCCCAAAAGGCTGTTAAAAAGTGGGAAAAGGTGACTGTAAAGCTCAGTTTAAATAACAGAATTATTGTACAAAGTACTATGACCTGATTAAAATACTGATAGGTCAGGTACAATGGCTCATGCCTGTAATTCTCCCTAACTACTCAAGAGGAGAAGAAAGACTAGGATTGTAGTTTGTGACTAAGCACAGGCAAAAAATTTGTGAGGCACCATCTCGATCAGTAAAAGTTGGTGTGTAATGGTAAACTTGTCATCTCAGCGATGACAGGAAGCATCCATAGGATTGGGCATAAGCATGAGACTATTCAATAAATAACTGAAACCAAAAGGTCTGAGGGACATGGCTCAAGCACCTGCCTAACAACCCCAAGACCCAAAGTTCAAATCCAATGTAGTACAGAAATGAAATGAAATAAAATAAATAAAATGAGCATTTTAGAAAGTGCTCATTGGTAGTTGTGTCCACGGTCATGGTTCCAGCCAGTTAGCTCACTTATAAGTATATGATTTGGACAAACAACCTCCTATCTCCAAAACACCTGGGCACTCATATAAATGATCCTGCACTGCGGGATTTGTGAACTGCACAAATTTAGAGAGCTTTAGATGGCAATGTAAAATTTATCTTATAATTTTGAGTCCATTAGCTTCCAAAACATGGCAGTTGTTAGGAAGGGGATGTTTTTTACAGGCACTAAATCTATTATTTGTTTATGGCTTAGTTCCTTCAGACTGAGGCAGGTAAAAGAACTCAGATTCTTCTAAAGAGCCTTGTGAAGAGGATCATTGATCACTGATTGTGCCTACTTGGTAGAAGTTACTGAGATACTCAGCACTGATGACTCATGCCTGTAATGTTAGACTGAGATCTGAAGACAGGTTTTAAGCCAGCTTAAGCAAAAAAATTCTGTGAGACCCTGGTCTCAAACCAATCGGCAAAAAGTCAGAAGTAGAACTCTGGCTCAAGTAGTGGAGTTCCAGCCTTGAGTGAAAAAACTAAAAAACAATGCTCAAGCCCTGAGTGGAAACCCTAGTACTGGCATACACACACACACACACACACACACACACACAAAACAACAACAACAAAGCTGTCACACAAAGTGGCAGCTATATTGCATGTGTACCTCACTTAGAGCACTAGTAACTCCTGTTCGTTCTCCATATATGAAGCAGTGGCCAATTCAGTGTCCATCCTTGCCTTTGTGCAGGCCTTGTGCAAAGGCTTCTCATTGCCCAGCACTGAGAGCATTTGCAGTCACTAGTGCCGAAGGAATACAGAGATCTATCTTCCTTACTCGGAGCCTTACTCAGAGATGGGCCCTCATGGGATCTGAGCTCAACCTACACTAGAGACACCTCAAGGCTTGGGTGACACAACTGTAGATATTTGTGAAAATTGGTTTATAAAAACTGTACATTTAATACATTTTAACTTTACTCTAAGGAAGAAACTATACCCACACTTTGAACTCTGGTTAATAATGTGATGTCAAAATATTTGGGGGGGAAGTGGTGCTGTAGCTCAAGTGGTAGAGCGCTCGCCTTGAGCTGAAGAGCTGAGGGACAGCACTCAGGCCCAGAGTTCAAGCCCCACGACTGACAAAAAAAAAAAAATATTTGGGGGAATTGATGGATGGACAGTTGGCTGAATAAAGGTATGCACCTGTGAGAAAGCAAAGGGAATGGTAAAGAGGAAATTGAAATTGCAAGGTTGCTATGTATTTGAAATTTTACATAATATGATATTGGAAAATACAAGGCTGTATTAATGCTGCTCAAAAATGATCTTTTATTTCAAATCTAAAGATTTTTTCCCCCTTTCCTCTCCTTCCCTCTTTTTTCTTTATTCCTTCTCTTCCTTTCTTTTTCTTTCTTTTCTTCCTTTCTTCTTTCTTTCTTTCATTCATTCTTTCTTTCTCTGTTTAAGAGAACCAAAATATCCCTTTATTACTGAAAAAATTCTGAGACAGAAGGTATCACTCAGTTGGAATGCAGTGGTAGTAATTGTGGGAATTACAGGAGCCCTCTGTTTGGTTACAGAAGAACCTGGCATGGGGTAGAACTCCCCAAATTCAGGACCTAACCAAGTTAAACTCAGAGCACAGCATTGCCAAATGAGGGGACAGGAAGAACCAACTCACCTTCCCTAAAAGAAAAAAGATAAATTTTGTGCTAAAAAAAATGACAGAATACAACTGTGTGAAATCAGATAGATATAGAAGTTACTTTTAAAAAAAATTTTACCTTTAAGATACCTGTTATTAAAACTATCAGAAATGAGATCCAAAGGCTTGGATCCATAGGATCTGTTCTGTTTGACTCTCCCCCCCCCCCCCCCGCCACCCCTCCCCCCACCTTCTCCCTCTCTCGTCTTTCTCATTTTTATCTCTGATCTGTATTTCATATAAGTTTTAAATACATTTTAGTCTAACAAGAAGTTTCTGTTTTGTTTTTGTTCCCCAAGGTGATAGTTCGAGGTGGAGGACATATTTTGCCCTATGACCAGCCTCTCAGATCGTTCGACATGATCAATCGATTCATCTATGAAAGAGGATGGGAACCTTATAATTGATGCACTAAATCTGTGTTCCTTTAAAAAGTGTTCAGAGTTTTAATCGTTGAAAAGAACACATTTTTTTAAAACTGAAAACATCATATAAATGAGGAAAGTATCTTTTCATAACTGCAAAATGTTTGTCATCAATAAAAATTAACTATCCTTGAAACAAATGAGCTTTTGGGAAAGATGGCTTATTACAAAAGAAAGAATTTCATGACTTCGAGTTTGGAAGGATGAGTTCTGTGGCACCGATTCAGACAATGGATAAGCAAGATTTGAGAGTCTTAACTATTAATTGTGTGTGTGTGTATGCATGTGTACACGTGTGTGCTGATCTTGGGGCTTGAACTCTGGCCTGGGTGCTGTCCCTCAGCTTTCTTACTCAAGGCTGACACTCTACTGCTTGAGCCACAGCTCCACTTAGGACTTTTGATGGTTAATTGGAGATAAGAATCTCATGAACTTTCCTTTGAATCGCAACCCTCTTATCGCAGCTTCCTGAGTAGCTAGGATTACAGGACAGGTTTGAGGCACTGGCACCCAGCTAAACTAGGAATTTTAAAGTTTCCTAAGTAAGCAAAAAGCTCAGTAAGTTAAAAAAGTTGTAAACAATTTCCTTTTGGTAAATATGATACATTTGAAGGTGTTCAATAAATAATACTGCATTTAAAAAATAGCTGTTGCCAGCTATTTACCTAGGAGGCTGAGTTGTGAGGATGACTGTTCAAAGCCAGCTCAGTGAGGAAAGTCCCTGAGATTCTTATTTCCAGTTAACTGGCAAATAATAAAAAGCTGGAAGCAGAGGTGTGCCTCAAGTGGTAGAGCACCAGCTTTGAGTGATAAAGCTAAAGGATAGTGCCCAAGCCCTGTATTCAAGCCCTAGCACTTTCACTAAAAGGAAAAAGAAAGGAGAAAAGGCAAAATTAAAATGTTAAAAAAGAAAAAGAAAAGATAAAAGGGAACAGCTGTTATCACACCTAACAATGAGTGAAGTTATAACAGCCATGGAGAAGAACTTTGTTTAAAAATGTAATGTGAGTATAAAATGGAGCTGTGAGTTTCAGAAATAGGAATCCTATATAAAAGCCTGATGTGTCCATTTATGATAAGGAAACGGAATCTCATGCAGAGAACAAACTTGATCAGCTCTTTTCCTTCCTTCCTTCCTTCCTTCCTTCCTTCCTTCCTTCCTTCCTTCCCTCTTTCTTTCTTTTTTTCTTTCTTTCTTTCTTTCTTTCTTTCTTTCTTTCTTTCTTTCTTTCTTTCTTTCTTTCTTTCTTTCTTTCTTTCTTTCTCTTTCTCTCTTTCCTTCCTTCCTTCTTTCTTTGTTTCTTCTTTCTTTCTTTCCTCTTCCTCCTTTTCTTCCTTCTGAGTTTTTTGGTTTATTTCAAGTGTAATAATTTATCAGACCGAAGGACACTTAAAATGAGTCATTTTAATTTGACTTTAAAATTCTCTGCTTCCTGTCACAAATAAAGTGCAACCCAATTGTTGGAGTTACAATCTGAGATAAACTAGGACCAAGATATAGACATTTACAAGTCTACATGCATTGTTTATTTTCCAAATGAACTACCACGTCCCTGCAGACTCTCCAGTTTGGCATCATGTGCACATATCTCTGAAATTCCAACATCATTCCTCAATTACCAGTCTATGAACTGGTTCACTGGAGAATTAATTTTGTAAGAGTCAACTCCTATTCTTGCTGCAAATATTGAGTTTGTTCCTTTAACTCCTCATTTTGTGCCTGATTACACTCAGGTTTGTTATTTTCCTTTTTTAAGGCTATATTATTCATGGTGCTCATGTATGAGAAGCCATCAAATCAAACATTCTGGTCAAAAGCAGATTAATTATTGCAGAGAGTAAATGAGCCAAGGAGTATGCAAATTTTTTTTTTCATCTATCCCTTTCTGCAGGTTAAGTTAGCTTAATTTTGATCCATAAACATGTAGCAGAAAAGTTACTGACTTTGATTTGAGACCTGGGATTTAGTCTTACCTGAGCCACCATGAACTTTGAAAGTTTTGGATACTTCACTTCTCAACAATAACTTCCCAAGTCTCAAAGAAGGGTCACCAGAGAAGATTTCAGAGACGCCTTTACATTCACAATCCATTTCTACAAGGGTAGATGAGATATTCAATCCCAACTATTCATGGATTGTGTATTTGAGAGCAGCTTATTTGCTAAAAAATTATTTTTAAATAAAAAATTAATATTGGCTCTTTTTGAGTTCATGGACAGAGTGACAAAAAATTTGAGTTGTTCAACATGTATATTCCCACCTATAGTCAAAGGTCACAAACTCTATGCCTTCTTTCAGCTCTTATAATATGTGCAAGTGGCCAGTCTAGGTTTGCTTAGTGCCATATCATCTGCTTTTCTTAGTACTTTCTGCTACTTATTTTTCTGTCTAAGATGTTCCCAAGCACAGTTCTTAAGTGCTCTTTAATAACCCTAAACACAAGAAGGTTGTGATGTTTCTTTTAGAGAAAATATGAATGAATGTTTTTATCTAGGCATGATTTATACTGTCGCTCTTATATTCAATGTGAATGAGTCAACAATACATATTAAGTAAAATGACTAAGAAACACACATGGTGCATGATTATGTATTGACTGATTGACAAGAATGTTTTGACCAAAGGCTTGATGAAAACTAGTTCTAGATCTTCCTTAAGAACCAAGGTTTAGAATTTACCAATTCAATGTTAGAGAATTAGCTATTGACAGAGCATTTGAACAGAGGGACTGGCACAAATAATGCTGACTAAGTGGAAATTGTGTTTTCATTTTTATCAACTCTCTGCCCCCAGATAAGTGGTGTGAGTGGAGGTGGGGACACAACTTTTATGGCCTTCCACATAGTGACTCGTAACTAGTTCATCTGGTCCAAACCCATAGAGACTGACTCTCAGATACTTGGCTTTAAAAGAAGAGAGGGAATAGAATTCCAGAAACCAAAGAAAAATAAGTTTTCTGGAGCCAGTCCTTTAACAGAGACTATCCAAGTGGGATACCTACCTTCTATGAGATTGATATAACCCATTAATGTCTAGGCAGAAAACTCTAGAATTCTGTCTATACTTGTTTTATTTCAAAACGAGATCACAGAAGTGGTGGGACAAAGCAGGAAGGTTGAACCAATGCAACAGCAATACTCAGAAGACACTATGTTGGAAATGAACTTTATAACTTCGGGGAGAGAAGAGTCAGGGGGAGGGACAGCAGGAGAAAGTGAGGGAGCACTGCACTCACCACAAGAATTGCACACGTTTCCTTACTTATATAACTGTAACGCCTCTGTTCATCACCTTTACAGTAAAAAGAAATGAGATAACAATCAAGCCTTGTTAATACTTAATGCTAGCTGATCGCTGTGACCTCCCTAAATCCAGATGTAAGATGGTCTAGTGTCTCATGGGACAAGCAGCAGCCACAAACAGGTGGAATTGTGTAGAGGGGGATTCTCATGGTTCTGAGCCCAGTATTTTGCCAAGACTTGCAATTTTGGTTGGTATAGGATTGAGTGCATAAAGACAAAGGCTGCCAAGAGCACATCTTCGTATCCCTTTGTGCTGTGATGAGGTATAGGCGTGCAAGTAGGCCTGTTGCCCCCCCTCCCCTCCCCTGTCACCTCCTGCAATGTGTTTAAGGAAGCTGTGAAGCCTGAGTTACGCCTTTTTCTTCAACAAAGACCAGTTCTGTAGACTTGCTATCACCTTGTTATGGCAAAGTGGCTATTGTTGCTGTCTCACCTAGCAGGTGTTTCTGGAAAAGTATATGCAAAATCTCTCATTTCAGAGTACAAGTGATGCTTTCACAATTCCCGAAAAAGTTAATTTCATTTGAAAAGAACAACAAAAAAGTTGAATCTATGACAAGAGCATTTTGAGAACAGATGTTTGGAAATGTTACCATCTTACTATAAACACATTACAAGAACAAAAATGTCCTTGAAATCCAAAAAAGTTTCAGCAAAAATATTCGCAAAAAATAATAAATGGGATGAAGCAAGGCATGCTGGGAATGAGTACTGATCATCTGAGAGGCATTTCTCCCATGTGGGTCTAACCAGCTCTGAGTGCTGTCTTACTCAGTTCTGATGGACTTTGAAGCCATGCATTAAAATAAACTGGATATGTAACCAGACATTAATTGCTACATTATAAAAGGCTAAACCAGGATTTTTTCCAAAATAACAAAAGCTATCCAACCTAATGATCTAATGAACATTAACAGTAATGTTTTAGAATGCAAAATTACTTTGTAGTGTAATAAATCAAATGCAATTATAAAGATTAGATATTTTAACTTTTATCTCTATCCTTTTAAAGTTTCTACTTTAAAACTTTATAATGTATGTGTTATTTAAGCAGTAGTGCATACTTACATTTTATGTATAAAGAAATATTGATATGCAATTTGGATATACCTTCAACATTTTATTTCAGTATTACATGGAACTCAGGGCCTCATGCTTACTAAACAAGTACACTATCAGTAAACTATGTACGCTCTTAGAGTCAAGAATATTTTAATGATAAGGCTGACAGCAAAAATATTTAGATACTATTGCTTGAGAAGAAATGTCAAAGAACACTTAAGCTTTGTATTGATTTTACTAAGTTAAAAGGTAGCATCTGCCAAACACCAGTGGTTTATATCTATAATCCTAGATACTCAGGAGACTGAGATCTGGAGTTTTGAGGTTGGAGGTATGTCCTGGAAGAAAGGTCCAAGAGATTCCATCTTCAATGAATCAAAAAAATGCTGGGATAGAGCAGTGGCACAAGTGGAAGAACTGCCAATATGAACAAGAAAGCTGATCAAAAAAGTGAGGCCCTGGGAGAGGAGGATTGGGTGGGAGGGGGTGGAGGGAGGATGGGAAGGGACGGGAAGGAGAAACAAAGGAGGAGGCTACAATGCTTGTAAGAAATGTACTCATTATCTTACCCATGTAATTGTAACCCCTCTGTATAGTATTTTCACAATAAAAAAAAA